CACAGAATCACAGAATCACAGAATCACAGAATCACCCGGGTTGGAAGGGACCTCAAGGATCATGTAGTTCCAACCCCCCTGCCTAGCAGGGCCACCAAACACACACATTCAGATCAGGGTGCCCAGGACCCCGTCCAACCTGGCCTTAAACACATCCAAGGACGGGGCATCCACAACCTCCCTGGGCAGCCCGTTCCAGGGCCTAACCACTCTCCTTGTATAGAACTTCCCCCTAACATCCAACCTAAATCTTCCCTCCTTCAACTTGGATCCATTTCCCCTAGTCCTGCTGTTGTCAGCCCTTTTGAAGAGTTTACTCCCCTCCTGGGTGTAGGTTCCCTTCAGGTATTGATAGGCTGCAATGAGGTCACCCCGCAGCCTTCTCTTCTCCAGGCTGAACAAGCCCAACTCCCTCAGCCTGTCCTCATAGGGGAGGTGCTCCAGCCCCCTGATCATCTTAGTCGCCCTCCTCTGGACCCTTTCCAAAATCTCAATGTCTTTCTTGTACTGAGGGCTCCACACCTGGACACAGTACTCCAGATGGGGCCTCACAAGAGCCGAGTAGAGAGGGACGATCACCTCCCTGTCCCTGCTGACCACCCCTCTCCTGATGGAGCCCAGGATCCCATTTGCCTTTCGAGCTGCCAGAGCGCACTGCTGGCTCATGTTCAGTCTCTCATCCATCAGGACCCCCAGGTCCTTCTCTGCCGAGCTGCTCTCAAGGACCACTCCTCCCAGCCTGTACGGGTGCCTGGGGTTCTTCCGGCCCAAATGCAAAACCTTGCACTTTGCCGTGTTGAACCTCATTAGGTTCACCCGAGCCCAGCCCTCCAGCCTGTCGAGGTCCCTCTGAATGGCATCCCTTCCTTCCACCGTATCAACCGCACCACTCAGCTTGGTGTCGTCAGCAAACTTGCTGAGGGTGCACTCAATTCCCTCATCGATGTCATTAATAAAGATGTTAAAGAGCACCGGTCCCAAGACAGACCCTTGGGGGACACCACTTGTTACCGGCCTCCACCTGGACATAGAGCCATTGACCACCACCCTCTGTCTGCGGCCTTTCAACCAGTTTCTTACCCATCGGGTCGTCCACCCATCAAATCCACTTCCCTCCAATTTGGAGATGAGGATGTGGTGGGGGACCATGTCAAAGGCCTTGCTCAGGTCCAGGTAAATGACATCAGTCGCCTTCCCTTCGTCCACCAATGCCGTCACATCTTTTGCTGGCTGTTTCTCCCAAACCCCACATCCCAAAGATCAGCTGATAATGGAACTTTCTGCCTGTCTCCAGCAGACCTCAAGTGTAGTAAATGCTCTCTAGGGAACCGCAGTTATACCCAGCTGCACACAGAATCACAACCAGCTGTTTTCAACAAATCAGTAGAAATGGCTTGAGCAGATTCGTTTGTCCTCACCTCTGTTGGTGGTACATTGGTTGCAGCAGTTCTTCGAAGACACTGCGAGTCACAGCAGGTGACTGGCTACTGCAAACAGACAGGCCAGAGGTAGCAACTGAAAAGGAACACCAAGAAAAGGGTTTACATCCAGTTTTCATTTCTGACTTGAATGAACTTTCCCCAGGGACCAGTTTTACTCATTCATCTCAGAACACTGCAGAAAGGTTTTAAGAAGTCTCACTCTGTTTAGCTAAGCGGTCAATTAAAAATTCAGCATCAACTTACCCCTCCAAGGAGCTTCACAAAGATGTTGTGCTCTCCCATAACCATCTGACACAGTATCTGCTCCACAGCTTTCAGCAGGCCAGCGATGAGATGGCACGCTTACACTGCAACTGTTACGTTTCATTTCCCGTGTTTCATTCTGTTAAAGACAGGGTTTCAATTAAGAGAATGGAAACGTATGAAACACAGGTATGTGGGGAAAACCCAAGGAATGATCCCTACGCTCCTTTGCTATTTAAAAGCACGTTCAAGATCTGAGACAAAAAAAAAAAGAAGAGTTAACTGCTGTAATAATCCACGATCTGCCCATGCTTTACTAAACCGAGACTGTTCCCTGAAGCTAGAAATAAACCCAGAACCAAGATGACAACAGCTAAGCTGAAGAAAGCACAACTTTCTGCACACACAATCCTCAGGATTACTTCCTATATCTGAGTACCAAATTAGAGTTTGTAGGCAACAAAGTTTCACTCTTGCCCTGAATTTAAGCGGATGTTTATAGCAGTTCTCTTCACTGAGTTAAGAGGTAGCCTGGCAAGTGAAGCTTAGTTCAGTGCTTGGGTCACAAAGTACTTACCAGAACAAAAAGATCAACTGTTCTGCATCCAGTATAGTGACAGAAGCTGTTTACCTTTAAAGCTTCCACTTGCTGACACAGCTTTTGAAGTAAGGACTTGTGATCTTCTGCCCACTGAAGGAGAGTCTGAGCAAAGAAAATAAGAAAAGCTTACTGAACTTGGATTTTCTTACACAAAAGGAACACTTTCCTAAAAGAGTAACCGGCTAATATACCTGGTAGGTGTTAGTTGGTGAGAAAGAGAACTTCTTGGGTGATGGAACTGCATCTTTCACTTCCACGTACGCAGCTCGTGAGATATTTCTGGAGGCAAGACTTCCCTCCTCACCATTCTCCCCAAGCTCCCGGATCACTGCCTTCAGCATTTCCGTCACAGCTCTAACAGATACCGGCAGCTAGAAATTGATTGGAAACGCAAGTCGTGATGGCAATTCTTCCTCAGAGCAAGAGACTGCCTCCTGATCTATGGCTGAACAGTGCACACGGCTTTCTGCAGAAACTCTGGGTGTTTTTGTTGTTGTTTTCCCCCAGGAAAGCCCCACATCTGTTAACATTAACTAAGAGGACCATTCACACAAGCATTAATTCTTTTACTTACTTGGGCAGCTACTGACGGGTCAGAGGAGCTTTCCTCAATGATCTTCATCAGGCAGTGCTGCCTTTCAACAAGACAGGCTTTGCGTTCTTCTTGTTCCTCTGGTAGCACACCATCACTCTCAACCTTCTCTGCCTTTCTTTGACAAAGCTAAGTAACAGCATATCGATCAGGAA